TTTGGCTCTCTCCTAAAATATTATAAGGAACGTTTTGCTTTCTTGCCAGTTCTTTTTCACCCATAAAGTGCTGCAATATCTACTATCCAATGTCGATAGAGACAATCATTTAGTATCTTTGCCAAGGCCTGGGAGGAAAAATAAATAAATCCGTATTTATTTTCTTTATAGAAAAGGGCAGACTCTCCCTTATGACTAGTTTGGCACTAGCCAAAATTAGTAAGTGATGGGCTTCTCATAGAATTTAGAAATCACTCACCAATTTGAAAATGGGAAGAAATATATCACATCCTTCCTTTATGCCATGGGTAGTAATGATGTAGAGTTACATTGCAAATATTGGCATAAAATAATGTATGACGTAACGTAAGTCACAGTTTGTATTCCCGTGAATGTGTCCAATAACAAGCATTTCCATTTCAAGTGGGCACACTTTAAGTTGGACATTTCCTTCTGTTGCCTCTTGAAATTCTAAGCTATAGTTATACCACTCCCTGAATGAAAATATACATTTCACAGATTGAAAAAAACAAAGACTAGAAGAATAAACATGTCAAGCATTCCTTAAGTCCATCAAGCTTTTATGAAACAAATAATGAACAAACTGACAATCTTCAGACCAAGTAGCCAGAATTTTTCATGTTGTATCATCTCTTTTTCTCTGTGTAAAGCCCAATCAAGCATACCTTTGATCTTGAATACTGAGATCTCTAAGTGCTTCTACAATAAGAGGTGTTTGTTAATAAGCATAATTTTTGCAAATATGAAAGTAATCTGCTAATAAATTCCTTGACAACTCCTTTGGTAGCATTTCTATTTAAAGTTATCTGAACAAAATCAGTTTTACCAGGCCAATGGTTTGAATACTTATTGTTCTTCTTTGTCTCTAGATTGGGGAACCGAAACTTGTGTTCTGCCTGCACTGCTCTGCAGAAACCATGAGCAGTCGCCTTCTGATGAGAAATCAGAGCAGTCAGCACTCTGATAACACTGAAACCATCAAGGAAGGCATCGAAAGCTATTACCAAGTATCAAAACCTGTGATTGCATACTATGAAAGAAAGGCACAGTTATGCAAGGTAAATTGCTTGACCTTTTGAATTAAATTATTGCTTTTTACTTCCATTATATGAGCAATGTTTGGAAAATATTGATACGACACCATTTATGGACTCTGTTAGTTTCTGCGCTTTCCAGTTTGTTCTCATCTTACACTTCCCTGGTTTGTTTGCAACTTCTACAATCTTTGGAGTTCCACAGTACAATTTGAAAGAATAAAACCACAGAATTATTTTAAGTCTGAGAACATACCCTGAATCACTACCACGTCTGTATAGAATCACTTATTGAATATTAATGCTGGAAAGCTTTTCTTTAAGTATTAGGATTTGTTTCTCTACAAGAGCTTTCAGAATTAGGATGACAGATTATGTTAATCCAAAGCCCTTTAGTTAAATTTGCAAAACTGGCAATGTATATCCTGAAACAGAACAGACCTGCACACAAGAAAGATCTTTCTGCTGGAATAAATTACATAGTTATATTAATTACAATGAATTACCTGCTGAGGATGTGATAGTTAAAGCTTTTTTTTTATTCTCTAAGCAATACTTTTCAGATAAGCAAAAAAAAATTCCATCAGTGCAATTAACTGATATATATGCTGGCACATCTGCAAATTCATTTACATGGGATATTTCTATTTTTTTATATGTATTTCTCTGCTCTGTCATGGCAATCTGTCCCTTATGTTCAGCTACAGAAGATCTAGTCCTACTGATCCTTCTTGTCCTAAAAGAGAAATAATCCAATAATAGTTTCTGGAAATACTATGGGAGCTTTTTTTCTAGAAGCTGTAGCAAACACGGAAATCTCATATCCCAAACCTTTTGCAAAGTTCCCAAAAGAGAAATATGCAGCTAATTTAGGCACCCATATCCTAACCTGAGAACAGATTAAATTACATGATCCTGAGAGAAATGATACTCAAAGGGAGAGTCCTGGTTTATATCCTTTACTAACCCCACAGTAAGTGCACTGAAGACAAACTCTAGAGTGGCAGAAAAAAAATCCCCAATTACTTTTCTTTTTTAAGCTTAAGAATGATTATCTGGTTTTGTTTGCATTTTCTTTGACGAGCCACTTTGCCAACATTGCAAGGATGCATCTAGTTAAGAATTTGGTACAATACACAATGCACCAACACAGTGTGATGCAAAGGAAACAGAGCTCGCTCCATCTCTGAGATCTTATTCCAGCGAACTGTGCCTACCACAGCGTTTCCCTTTTGAAGCATCAGAGAAGTGACAGCCCCACAGAGAATGAAACTACACTAAATGCTTTCACACAGATTTTGCATTCATAGTCTGCCTTAATTCACTGGATGTGGACTCTCCTTGCCCTTCCTTAATATTTCTGCTGCAAGTTTCTGCTCCATCTCCTATGCAACAGCAAAACAAGGAATCTTTTCTTGAAAGCTCACTGGCTCCTTAAGGGATTTACCTAGTCTCTGAGTCAGAACCACATATGTGCTTTGCACTCTTTTGTGATTAGTTTTTGGGGGAACTGACATTGCGTGTTTGCACGTTAGAAAATACGAGTGCATTGTTTGAACAGTGCTTACACTGTTTTTCTTACAATGTCTGTACAGTGTTTGTACTTGCTTCTGATGAATGTAGGTGTTCAATGTATTTCCATCTTCTGGGTGGAACTGTTGTGTATGTAAGCCCTGTGAAATCAGCTTTATAAACATTATTATGTAAAATGTCCTTTTAAAGATGAAAAATGTGTTCCATTTTTCTGGAACACAGGTGCTTGTATTGAAATGTCTACCTTACCTGCTTTTTACTAAACTGCTAAAATACACATTTGCTATCAAAAATGTGGTTGCCTGTTGGATTTAAGCAAAGTAGGGAGATGCCCCTCCCCCAAACCCTTGTGATGTAGACAAGTACACATTCAGTTATGTATCAGGATTTAGAGAACACTGCCAAAATACTCAGCAGAGGTGGGCTTTTAAAATTAATCCTTCCAAGCTATCCTTGTCACACTCAGCCAGCCTCGGGTACAAGCCTGCAGCCCTGGTGTCTGTACAGCAAGCACCAGAAGCAAATGTATTTTTCACACAAGAAGCACGTTAATGTTTTATTGTTCATGGGTGAGAGAGGAGACTTTTTTAACCAAATGTTGTTGAACAGTCGTGGGAATCTGCTTTAAAATTTACTTTGTGCCTACAGTCAAAGTGGAAAAGTATGTCAGAGTGCTTTTTCCACAGGGTAATTGACTTCAGTAGCTATTCTGATCCAGATATTCCCTTAGTTCTGCAGCGGACAATGCTGGAATTAAAAAAAAAACATTCAGTTTTGGAAATACACTAAATACTGTGAAACAAAGTAACTTCTTTTCTAGAAGGAATGCTTTGTTTAGGAAATTTTTCTAGGCAATTTTCCTGGCTAAGTGAACTCAGAGAGTTTAATCATAAAGTCTGACTTGGTCAATGACACAACTTAAGCACAACGCCTGCCATAGTGGCATCCTTCCAGTGCCCAGTCCTGCTTTGAGCAGGAGGTTGGACTAGATGACCCACTGAGGTTCTTTCCAACTGGTATTATTATCCTGTAATCGCACATCTTACAAACCTATACATTATTTGGCTCGACAATTTGAAGAATAAAGACATAGAAAAAACAGTTAAGACTCGGTCAACAGCTGTTTTAAAACAAAAAGAACTAGATAACACAAAATATGTAACTGTTAGCTATGTGGGAAATTAAGAGAAAATAGCCATTTATGTTGACAGTTTTAAACCTATTTTCGTGGTGAATATGTTCAAGCTGTATGTGTTGAAGAAAGCAGAGAGTAAAGGAGAAGTTTGCAATTCCCAGGACTCAGAGTTAGTTTCTTATTTATAGCAACATATTTTATGGACTGCTGAGCATTGACATTAGCAGCCACTCCGATGTTCTCTGAAGAAAGGAAAGTCATGTGGAAAATAGAAAAACCATCAGTAATACTTCTGACTGCAATTTTTGTGCGTGTGTGGGCTAGGCTGAAATAGGCCTTGGGTTTTGTTGTTTGCATTATCATACACATACACAGGGGACTGAGCCTTTACCTAGAAGCAGTCTAACATGTTTAATATTTTTCTTCATGATTTTGATTATAACACCACATGTTTTCAGCTTTGGGAATGTGTTCATTCCTAAGTGGGTTTTATTACTCTCTAGCATTGGCCAGCGCTGGTTGAAGATGTTAATGCTCCCATTAAGATGCTGCTGCCTTTATAATTCTCCTCACTGAAAGAACTGCGTGTATGTTTCCTAATCCGTTTCAGGCAAAACCACCAAAGTTAATGTACAAGTGTTGATTTGAAGACCCCTTAAAATAAATTATCTCGTCTACATTTATGGATTTAAAAAAATAATCCATGGATCTTCATGTAAATACAGACCAGAGGTAAAGCTGATGGGATCCAATAGCCTCAGGGAAGTGATGTCTTATCTGAAGGTGCTGTTTGCAGGTCCAGATCAGTCTGTGATCTCAGGATAAGCGATGGCCAAATCATCTGAAGAGAAGCTATATAAGAGAGAAAGAGAAGAACAATCTAAAACAATCTTTAGTTGCTGCCTTCTGGAAAGTTATTCCTGTCCAGGCTTGTTTTTTCAACAGAAGCAGCTCTTCAGTGGAAGGCCCATGTGAGCTTTATGTCGCTTTAGATTTCTGCCATGCACTTTCTTAAGAATTCAGAGGAGGAATGTTAGAGTCTAAATCCCACCTAACTGCCATGAAGATTCAGCATTAACCTTTTCTCGCTAGTTTACTGCAATGTGTGACTAAGCACCACTCGTAATTGTAAGTGAAATAGTGTTTAATTGTATAAATGATCATGTCTTGTAGGGTTTAAGTGATGCTTAACTGCACCAGTCCCTGCTTTGCCACAGAAAAGAAAATCAGAATTGTTAAACAGACTTGTTTAACAAGAAAATAAGGTTGGCATATTGGTATTATTTAGTTTCTTCATTTTAAATGTATCTAGGTCTGGGTGAAGTTTTCTGCAGATTGGAAACAGCACGTGGCAGTAGTGGTACTTGTTTAACTTGTCCTATTTAGCCTAAAATTTTTCAGTCCTGAATCAGGCAGATTAACTATGCAAATGGAAAATTCAGTCCTGGGCAGAAGGCCAGAAAAAGGCCTGATGAGGAAATTAGATGTTGGATGAGCACTTAGTGGAGGAGAAACTGATCTGTTGCACCACCATATCAAGGTGTGCTTGAGTCAAATTGTGCATTGTCAAATTAGCATTTTTGCAAAATTTGTGCATTGTCAAATTAGCATTCTCATTCTCTGCATTACAACGGGTGTTACAGCACGGATGGAAGGAGCATAATAAAGACAGTAGAGACAGAAAATCTCAAGTCTGACCTAGCTTCATCTCAGTCATTAGGAATTCTCTTTGCTTTACTTGCACAGGAGAGACAAAGGTGTATGGTTGCAACAGCGTTCCCATTTTAATCAATGAGAGTTTTGTGACCTTCTCTAAACCCAGAGTTATTGTGCATAGGTGCATTCATAAATAACTAATCTGATACGTGGAAATAGAACGTTTTTCCATTCTGCTGACCTCTGAACAAGAACAGTGACCTGATGAAGCTGCCAAAAGATCAGGACTCTGAAATTTCCCTCTGACCAAGATTACCTGTCAGTGTTTCTGCTCAGCAGGCAAAGCATGAGGCATGCACGAAGAGGGGGAGACTTTGGGTGCAGATGAAACATCTGTGAACCTGACAGGAATAAATAATGGGATCCTTCCAGCCACCTAGCTGAGATAAAGAACTGTGATGTAACTCATGGAGACGTATTTCCAAGGGAAGATAAACTGGCTGAAGAATGAAAGGAAAAGAATGGCAGTGTCCTTGCTCATTTTTCTGCTAATGCATGAAGTTTCTAAATTGTGTTCTGGAAGGTAAAGTAGGTGTAACAATAAGTTAGAAATTTTCCAATTAATTTTTATAACATTACGTTTTGGGGATATAGTTTAATAGTCCATAATTCCTTTCATAGTCAGTTATAGCTATAACTCCCACCTGCCACTAAGGACAGCAAGTGGGTGCTTTTTAACAAAGACCTCATGCTGAAAATGCACTACTTAACGAAAACAGTTGCAAGCTGCCTGATTCTGTGGGAATCAGATATTCCAGATGAATGAAATGAAACAAAATGAAATGCAGTATGGTAGCTGTAGTAAGTGGGTAGATTGTGTTGTTTTACATTTATTTCTCAGTGATTTCCAAGGCAGCTGGACAGAAAAGTGTGTCAGAAAATTTAGTAGGCACCTACTTGTGTTTAATGTGGCTAAATGTAAATACCTTTGAATATATGTCCTTCTGTCAATTGAGAAGAAAGGAAGAAAAAACCTGTTTTTTTTAATATCTGACTCATTCTTTGAAGCTTTTTTCAAGTGACAGTATGTAGGAGGGTAATAATAGAGAAGAGCAATCCATTGGTAGTCAAGCAAGACAAAACTGATCCTACCTAGCTAATGTGAGACACTTAATGGGTATCTTAAATACAAGTTCTCTCTTCAAAGTCATCTGAGGAAAAGGGGCATGGGTGTAACAAATAAGCTAGGTAGTCCAGAGCACAGGATTTCCAAGGATGTCCAAAAACCTTCACAATTTCAGGTCACACGATATGCAAGCTTAGCCTACAAAGTTCAACCAAAATGCATTTTTTTTTCTTTCTTCTTTTTTTCACAATGTTATTCTACTGTTTCTTTCTAAAATCAGCTGAAGTCGCATGCTGGGTAAGCAGTAGTTATTAGATTCTTATCACGAACATTTTCCATAACCATTATGAAAGAACGAGCGACGATCCACCCTCTCACGATCTTCCACCTCTGAGCCTTCTCATGCTGATCCCCTGTTAGAATTTTCTCTGGAGAGGGACAAATGTGTACTTTCCCCTTCAGAGAAGGGATAATCAATGGTAATAGCGATAGTAGGTAAGTAATTACTTACTTAATTCAACTTAATGTTGAATAACATTGAAAACAGTCCTTATTTATGAGGTTTGTTGCAATCTGAGAAACAGAAATGCAGTTTTCTCTCCTGGAGCTGCAGAGAATTACTGGGGTACTAGCTGTGAATTATTGTCACCTTAAGTTAGTTTTGTGCCACGACTTTAAGTTAGTTTTATGAATTGGACCTTTGTTATTTAGGAGGCAGCATGGGAAGCACTGGGGCTGTCATTAGTCACGCTAATCCATATTTTCCTGTGACTGTTTAGGAAGGCAGCATCCCAGCCAGTCATAAATGGTGGCAATTTCCATGCTCACAAACCTAATTCTTCATCACAACTGCCTAGATTTAGACCGAGTATCAGTCCTAGTTCTAGAAGAGGTCTCTGAAAAGCCAGTGGCAATCAGCTATGCTGATTATGTTAGATCAGATGTCCAGTGCAGATATATTTATGGAATAAAGAAATAATAAAAATACATATTACCTCTCCTAAGAAGTTGGAGTTGTTCAGTCTGGAGAAGAAAAGGATCTGGGGAGACCTTACAGCAGCCTTCCAGTACCTAAAGGGGCCTACAAGAAAGCTGGAGAGGGACTTTTACAAGGGCATGTAGTGATGTGACAGGGGGTAATAGCTTTAAACTGAAAGAGGGGAGATTTTGATTAGATCTAAGGAAGAAATTCTACCCTGTGAGGGCGTTGAGGCACTAGAGCAGGTTTCCCAGAGAAGTTGTGGATGCCCCATCTCTGGACGTGTTCAAGGCCAGGCTGGATGAGGCTTTGAGCAACCTGGTCTAGTGGGAGGTGTCCCTGCCCATGGCAGAGGGGTTGAAGATGAGCTTTCGGGTCCCTTCCAATGCAAACCATTCTACGATTCTATGATATTTAGACAAGAGGCTGTGGCCTTCACTCTGTGTGAAGTCTACCCTGTGAGGTAGCTGTGCGAAAATAGGTGTCTTGGCAGCTGAGACAGATAAAACCATCTGCTTTGTAGCAGCTGAGATGAGAGTTGCCAGTTTTATTCTAGCTGGAGAAGGTAGGCATTTGCTCCAGAATAGTTCACCATTCCCTTTTCTCTTTGCTACTAGTAAATAATCCCCTCCCTTTGTTTCTGTGGCATAGAAAGCTTCTGAAGGACATGCAGCCCTTGTTTGAGAACTGACCTTTCTAAGGCTCTACCTGCTGCTTCGCAAACTATTCCAGCATGTGTGTACTTCAGCATTACATAAAGCAGCAATGTCAGCAGACATCAACATGACGAGAGCAAGGGAAGCAAGAGAACCACGCTCCTGAAAGCTTGCCAGGAGGGGAGAGGGTAGTTCAGCTCAGCTCTAAGATACCCTTTCAGAAAGTCCAAGGGGACTGAACCCGGTCAGGCACGGCTCCTTAAAGGTTGGCCAGGCTGGTCATTTCCAGGGCTGGAAGTGCTGTGTGTGGAGGTAGACTGGCTGGGTGTGCCAGCACTTCTGACAGGATGCAACAAGGGACCAAACTTTGCAGCATCTGCGGATGCCACCAAAAACGAAATCAAGCTATGGAATATGAATGCAATCCCTTGCTGGATCTCTGCAAGGAGCAGCTGCTTACTCCCACACAAGACTTAGCACCAAAGGACTCAAATCTACATTGAGTAGAGTCAGACTGTGCAGGAGCTGGCTGCACACCAACACTGTAGCTGGGAGGAATTTCATGGCCTATTTCAAAAATACATTTTTTTGAGTTTGAAACTCCTTTTATCCTCTTGCAGAACGAAGAGGTGGCAAAAAATATGAAGGTCAGGAATGTCCCCTTCAAACTCTACAATTGTCTGGCATCCTAGTCAGTAACTTGGGAGATGAAAATGCAGTGCACAGTTCAGGAAAACAGGCTTTAGCAAAGTTGTCACAGGTCACTAAAATGTGTGCAAACTCCATGGCATGCACGCATGAAAGACTGAGCACGGAGAAGTAGAGAGGAATCTTGCTTTTGAGTAGAGAATCAAGGCTCTCATCCAGGAACTCAAGAGGAACTGGATCATCAGATGCAATCTGGGTGGTGTACGCAGCCGGCATGAAAGCTGCTTCTATCACTGCTGTGAAGGCAAAAGACTCAAGTACTGACCTGCATGACACTCACTGCATGGGACGGACATGAAACTCATTGCTCAGAAAAACTCAGTGCTGCATTACATTTCTAGGGAACACTCGGAAGTGTCACTAGCTACAAACACCATTCCTCTTTGCTAAAATGCAGTGCGCTCTTCCTCAGCATAGGAGAATAAATTGGTCTTGTTTCTGTTGAAGTCCAGTCACAAAAAACAACTTGGACAGCCTGGCCAGCCTCTGGCCAAAACACAATCTTTGGGCTGTTGAAGAAACAAATTTCAATGAAAGTGAGTTCTTGTACAACAAAACCAGTGCCACTGTAAAACACGTGTTGCCCAAAGGTCATCATTGTGGTTGGACTTGATGCTCTTAAAAGTGTTTACCAACCTCAGTGATTCCATGATTCTGTAAAACCAGAACCAGTTCACCAAGGTCACAAATACAGTGCACAGAAACACACAACCTTGCTCAGGTACTGCCATTGGAAAGCTTTTAGGTCAGGCACAGCGTTGCATACTCTGACACTTTAGATGACAAGAAATAAATTAACAAGTCAGTGCTGTTCATCTCCTCAACAGAATGACATCAAAGTTGCTCTATTAGGTTTCTTTTGAAGGATATTAAATGTTAAAATAGTTTCTAAAAATCATTGGAAACTGTTATGTGTATCAAAGGTGTAATTCTACTTTAAAACATAAGTACTTTGGAGAAAAAGCTTAAGCTCCCTCATTTGATTAATGTACTTTGCTGCAGACGATGGAGCCTCCAGAATCTTCTCACATAAATCAGTGGAAACACGGTGAATAATTTGGTTTATGGAAGCTGCTCCTCTACATTAGGATGCTTATAACATGAAACAGAACAACTTTTATTTTATATTGGACCAGTTTTTTGTGCCAGTGTTTAGATTCTGAGATAATATTTTGTTAACTTAATCGGAACTAATGCTTTTTGCCTGCTTCACAGGTTGATGCAGAAGGAACACAGGAGGATGTTTTTCTGGAAATCTGCAAGACAATGGACTCTTTTCTGAAAAAGGAAGAGGCAGCATTGTCTTTTTCAACAGAAACGCAGTAATGGTGTGTACACAGCCTCACCTCCCGTGCACTCGACAGTCGTGATTAAAACGCTGTTCCAAGCAATACTGCTTTCTCGAGAGGTATCTGGAATTTGTGCATGTGGAATGTTATTTTCAATGAAATATTCTTTCTCTGTTCTGACAATATACTCGCCAGGAAGCGGTCTGTATGCTGACTCTACACTAAGAGCTGTATATTGTTTTATCAGTTGTCTGCTCTTCACGGGTTAAAAGCAGCATGGTGAACAGCAGCTCGGGTTCGTATTTCATGGTGTCATGTATTTGATTGGAAATCAGACAGTGCCTGGCTGGCAGTGAGCTCTTCAACCACATCATTCACCATTTAGCATATTAACTTTAAAATGACTGTGTACAAGTTTTCCATTGGTTATGATATTCTTTTAATTAGCAGTATTAATTTTTGTGGTGTCACTTGGCTTGTTCTTGAGCATTAGTGACTAAAATCCGTTCCCTGTTACATGCAGCTGTAAGACAGCTGAAATTAGTCAAGCTAGAATTTAAAATAAACTTTTCACCCGTCCCCATAACACTACTACAAGAAGCAGCAGAAAAATTAACTGAAGGAGAAGGTATGGTTGAACATTGTGGAAGTCTGTCAATCCGTTGTCATGGAGCAGACACCATTTTTGAGATAGCCTTGTCTTCTGCTGGGAATTGTAGGATATCATAAATGATGACTTCCCAGTTTTGTGAGCTAAGGTGAAAATAAAGATTGTATTGTATAATTAAATGTGTGATCCAGTAATTATCCATATTAACAACAGTTTTACTAAACTAATTAAAGTCTACATATGAAGTTGACTAAGAGCCAGAATGTACGAAGATGTCTTTAAATCATACTTCGGAAGTATTTCACATGCAAAATTCAGATCATCTGTCGTCTTGTACTGGCATTGCCAAAACTGGGGTGGGGGGAAGGAGGGGTGGCAGCAGGGCGGGAAAAGGAAAATGTCAGGGATTATTTGACTCATGTTGCTTGCATCTTTGGTAAGTCATTTATCTGTAATATCTGCAAAAAAGTCTGTAAAAACCATATCGTATTGCCATTAAGTTAACCAAAATATTGTGGAGTTTCTTTGGTATTCTGATGGCTAAATAAAAGCTTGTTTGACATTCCTGTAAAGTAATCGCATCCTCTTACTGGAACTACTGGATGAATTCACAGTCGAAGTGAGTTGCATGATTGCTCTTACTGTCAAAGTTGTACTTTATGCTGCACATTTGTACTTTTAAAGTTACCTTTCTTGTAATGAAGACAAAATACAAATAAAACGTACAAAAATGAGGAGTAATGATTTCTGTTACAGTATATGTGGGTTTAATGCTTTTTAAAGCACAGTACATGAGTTGAAAATATAGCTCAAATCAGCATGCTTACAGAACATGTCCTTTTTCAATTCAGGGCAGCTCTTCCATTTTCTTTTTCTTCCTTGGCATTTGCCCCGTAAATGCTAATTCAATTGTTTTTGAGGGACTGTTCTAGGTATGTTCTTATCCTTCATATCCTGGATGTTCCTTCTTTCCTGGGTCCTCTTATAGCCTACATTTTACCTCTGATGCTCTAGGAAGTGCTTCTCCAGCTCCAGACCAGTGCCATTAAATGACCAGTAACGTCTGTAGTACAACAGCTTTAAGCAAGAGACTCTCAGAATGCATCAGCTTGAGAAGGCAAGTTTTTCTAAACCGGGCTTTGAAGCACTAGCAGCTGTCTGGTGTAGTGTTTTTCCAAAAAAAGTAAAACATTCTGGAAGTTACCATGAAGTTGCAAATTCATCAGGGTAGGTTTCCGGGAGTAGTTTTTATTACTTCTAATTACAATATAAAAGTGTGGAGTATCATATTTGTGCGGGATGGGAACAAAGTCAACAATTAGCTGCTAACCTTTTTAAAAAAAAAATAATCAAACTACAAAAATTATTTAACATACAGTTTCCGTTTTCTTCCTGCTTCTTCTGGTCTTCTCTGTGGAACAAAACAAAAAAATCCCCACGCGTTGGGTGTTATGTGCATTAGACATCTATTTGCGTATGTTCATAATGTAAGCAAGAGAAACAGCTGTATACGCATGCACATGGAAATATAAATATTTATACATATTCAGTAAAGAGAGGACTTATCCAAGACACTTCTTTCTTGGGCGATTCAGACTTGAAATTCTCCTTTTGCTTCCAATCTCATTCAGTTATACCACGGCTTTTTTTTTCTTCTGAAGCTATCCTAAATTGATGGCTGAATATTTTCACTAATGTACTTCTGTTATTTTCTTCCAATAATTTTTTGAGGATATCAACAGAAAACAAATATTACCACAGATTCTCTCCCTGATAATACACGTTCATGAACTCTCCCTTCCTATAAACAGCATGAATGACGTGGAAAGCACGGTATTAGAGAGCCTCTCAGAGCAGGACCTTTTCCAATTAAAAATGAAAATTTGTCATGTGAATTTTTGTGTTGCACTTTTTTAAGGTTTATTAAATTTATCTAAGTATACTAGATATGTGAGATATGTTTACATACGTTACTTGCTTAGTGTTTTAGTAACCGTACTATATTACCTTCTAAATAGATTAAATGCTTAGGGCTTTTTTATGAAGCAAAAAATAACTACACCTAAATTTATTGCAAAACTTATTACTGATCAGTTTATAATTAAAGTTATTAGGTGCAGCCAGCCAATTATCCTTCTTATTGCCATCTTTTTAAGTCAAATTGGTTTGTTTTCTAGCTAATTACTCCCAGTATTCAAGTTTCAAAGCAACTGGAAGTCTATTACAGTTATAAAATAATAAGTGTTTCTGAATCACAAGCTGTACATTTCAATAGAAAATATATTAACTAAAATATGTCACAATAATTACAAAGCTTCTCAGACAATGGTATATAGTGTACCAAGGCTACTAAAACCTGTATTTTCTGCGATCTGAAAACGAACAGTCTGCGAGTAAGACAGGAGAATACTACAGCGCTAATCCTGCAGAAGGCGAAGCGTGTTTCAGCAGGTGCAGAGCACCACCAGCTCCCACCGACATGAACAGCAGAGGAAGGCGCTGGGCCTCTTGCAGGTCTGCACAGTGAGCATCTGTATGACGTATCAAAACGTCCGTTTAATGTTTTCCATCTTGATTAAAAAGTCAGAACTACACAGAAAGGAAGTCACAGCAAGCATTCTATATATAAACAGACTGTATCCACATAGTTTATTTCTCACAGTTCTCCTGACAATTGAACATTATTTAAGAACATACTGTATACACAGATAAGAAGAAACATACAAAATGTTTTAAATGATGCACAACAAAATCCAGCAGTATAAAAGAATGCATGTGAACCCTTGCTCACTGCTCAGGCTAAATTTAATCACTGTTTAAATAGTAATAAAAATACAATCTTTCATGGATCTTGTGCAGACTACAAAAGAGGAAAAATTATTACCATATATATGATTTATATTAGGCAGTTTTCTTTGATGAGTTGCACTAACAACTCCAAATACAGAGGCAGAAGGCTGTGTATTTTATTTTAAAGGAGTTAATGTTGAGTATTAGAGACTTTACACAGTTACTACCACTGGCACTTTTCACCATATTTTGTACACATCACATGATCATCTTATATAACATTACATTTAAAAAATATATCTGAGTGACAATTTTATAACATTCACACACCATGAGCTGGTTAAGGAAGCAATGCCACAGTTGCCCCCTGTAGTGCTTCGCTGTTGGTACATAGAGTTCATTGTGGTTTAAAAAAATAATAATTAAAAAAAAAAAATTAAAAAAATTGAAAGTCAATGTGATTAAGCAGCTCCAATTTAATAAAGGCCTGTAACCAACCATCGCTGAGACAGTGAGTATTGTTTAGAGCACATCCTAGAAGCAAACACTGTCATTGGTTAAAACCTTGCCTAAAGAAGTCAGTTACTGTGCTGAAAACTATTTCACAACAAAACTGCAAGCTACTAAACTGTTTTTATATAAATACTTCATCTCCTCTGGATCTCATTATAACCAAGCTCTTCAAAGCCTTTGGAATTTACTCTATCTTTAACGTGTGCTCTCATTTCTGGCTCACCCTTTTGTATGTTTTTCCTTTGTGTTTAGATTCACCACCTAAAAACGACTAATGTGGTGAAAGAAAAGTCTCCCGGTGAAACCTTCTGCACACTAGGAATGTTCAGCTGCTGTTCAGTGATCTAGAACCATGACAGCTCAAAGCTGTAGTTTGACAAGTACACCCAGGAAGCTGTCATGCTGTGAGCGACATTTCAGGGAAAGCAGAGTCTTTCCAAAATGTGCACAGAATTAACAATGGTGCCATTGTTATTTTTGAAAGAGGATAGTAAGCCCAAGATGGTAGATCTGCTTCCCATGTCATCTATTGGCTGGAAAGTAGTTTGGGTCAAGATAATTGTAACTGGTGCCCTGGGACATGCAGTAGTCTCTGTCTAAAAATGTCTCTGCTCTGTAAATAGGTTCTAACTGATGATCTTCCTTATGAATCTCTGTTTCATGCAGACTGCAAGGGAAAGAAAAAGATAATAGTTTAAAAGTCAAATATTTTCCTTATCTTTCACTTTCAGAAAACAGTGATCATATTAACAGATTCATCCCAAATCTGATACTCACATTAATTCATAAAGTATAATTTCTCCCACTATCTAGCAGTACCAAACCTATCTGTCCACTGTGTTGAGAAAAAACACTTTTATACATCCAGAACATGCTTATACAATTATCTCCCACAAATAAATGGTGAAGTATCTTCCACTTTACCCAACACAGTGTACGTGTCCTATGCTGGAGCAAAGATTTCCAACATATGCAGCAATTAAGCCACATAGAGAGATTCAAGCTAATTACAAACAAGTAGAAGCGCATGCTGCTCACCAGTCAGAACAAGAATCACAGAAATCCAAGGACATTTCTTGAGGGCAGTCTTGGCAGTGCCACCGAACACCCTGGATAGGTTCAATTCCGCAGTTATCACACTGTGAAGGAGATGAAAGATCACTGAAAAAACAGCAACTGTAACCACTTACGTTATGAACAGCATACACCAATACACCATGTAGAAAGACATGTCTGTAGG